ACGACGAGAGACGACGACAGACGACGAGAGACGACGAGAGACGACGACACGACGCAAGCCACGCGAACACAGCTCCAACCCCAGACCCCCAACTATAAACGGGAACCCTTCGCTACGCATTCGGGAAAAAAAACCTTTCTCCACACATCCCACACCGAGAGATCCGAAAGGCCACGGGGAGGGTGTGCCACATCGGTTTCTCCCTGTGGTGGTCTCTCGAGGGAGAGACAGCCCAAAGACCGGTCTCCCCCGGAGACAGTAAGGTACATTCTTTAACCGCCCCCCCCAAAGTGAGTGGTTTGGGGGGGGTTGATAAATGTAGGTAAAGGTCTCCCACGTTCTAAGCTACATGTTTGAGCACGCCCCCCTCCAAAGGACGTCAAGGAGGGGTAACTTACAATACAAAAAACACTAGGGGGGGCCCAGAAAATGTAAGTTACATTTGTGACATCCCCCCTCAACTCCATAGTGTAAGGGGGTAGGGATGGTTCTATGTCTGAATCATTTCTATGCTGGGGCTAGTCCCCAAAAAAGGTCTTCCACCATCAGGACAGTTCAACTCGTAAAACCGAGGTGCGCAGGTGAGAGACGGTGGATGCGCCCGCCTTCTGCGATGAGTAGTTGAAGTGCCCCTGGTGAGGCGAGTCGAGGGTACAGTGTCGAAGCAAACTATTGGCTGTGGTAGGTCTATGTGGGTAAATGGCATGGGCCTATTGTGTTCTTCAAAGCACCGGGTCAAAATAATACATACACACAAACAAAAATACACATTGTAGTATTTTGTCAATATTGGACTTCTTCAACATGTTCTCCAGCTGCTTTAGCTCCTCTGATCTTCTGGACGTGTTTCTTCTCGTAAATCAAATCGCTTCCAAGATATCCAAAACATCTGCTTCAGCCCTATCGGGCACTAACAACCATGACACATGGCACAACGTGCTCCGCCCAAACGGACCATCACCTGTGAGTAGAACTCGGTGCGCTCGCCGATGATGGCAGCTGCTGCCTTGTTGGCACCCACCGTGCCATCAGAGCCCAAACCGAAGAAAATCGCCTGGTGGCGTGACCGGGGAGACCCGGTGAAGAATTTCAGTCCCGGCCCGAAACCACCCCCAAAACAGTGGTGCTACGCAGTGACTTCTACATGAATCTGAAGTGATCTCGAACTATGATGAATTCCGCCTATTTAATTAATATATAATATATATATACATACATATAATTACATATATATGTGTTTTTGTAGAACTTTGGTCTATCCAACTACAAATAACTGTGAATGATGTTGGTTAGTCAAGCCTTTCTCTAAAATACCTGCAGTTGTTGTTTACCGTTTATGGGTTTGACCTGGGAAGTCTTCAAACGATCTTTTGCACGGGACATCCTCCAAGAGCCAAACTGAACCTCCAAAAGTGAAGCGAGCAAACACATCACGCAGCCTGCAGCCCTGGCAAGCAGGTTCGCAATCCAAATCCGTCGACAAACGACAACCAAATGGCGCAGCGATAGTCACCTGCACAGACCTGCACCAACTAAAACGACTTGTCTACCAACGGCTTGTCACTAAAACACAGCTTCAAGGCAAGCGCTTCAAGAGCAAATCACGAGGGCACAGTGTTCAACACCCCGGCCGAAAGAACGCTCTGCGAACACAAAGTGCTCAATGGCACAGCAACACAAAGTGCTGACCGCACGGAACACTGCACCTAATCATGGGCATGTTAAGTTGCAACGCTATTATTTCACACAAATCTGACGCTTCATGCTTTCATCATCTTCCATCCCGGTCCAAAAGCTACTCCAACGGCCGCGGACGGTTGCGAACATGAGAGCAATGTCACGAGAACAAGGCTCTACCCCCAGACCCGCAGAGTGAATGAGAACCCTTCCCTAGGCATTCCGGTATTAATATATAATAAATACTTAACACAATATAATTATATATATTTTATATTATATATAAATTTATCTAAAAACAATTTTATAGTATAAATATAAATATACAATCTAAAACTTAAAATAAACCTTGCATTGTTAGTGGGACCGTATGACCGTTTCCCATTGTTTTTAATACAATGGATTATAAATGAAAATATTCAATTGCCTGGATTCAAGATTCTCAGAAAAAGTTCTTGAATCCAGGGTAAAATATGATTGAACACTCAAAAGTCCTAGAGTCTAGAGAAAGTGCTTGAATCTGAACAGTACAGGAATCTTATGGAATCTTGGCTTCAACATGGTTTCTGATGATGTCGAATCCAGGACCGCTCGCAACAGTTTGCAAACAGCTTGCGGACGGGCTTAGTCATCTGGGTTGCAGCTGCAAGCCGTGCTTCTCAAACTAAATGTGGAAGGTATTGTCAGAATAAAGTTGGTGTATATATATATATAATTGAGTGTACAAACCAGGTGGGGCGTAGGGAAACGCCCAGGCAACCCTTTCAACCGGGAGGTGATAGAAGAAGTATGCCAGATCCCTGGATGCACGGTCTATGTTAATGGGTGTACGAGGAGCGTCGGAAGGACGGGACCCCGTGACGGCAAGTGGGACCGAACGAACGACGTACGGCGACGAGCGAACGAACGGTAGGCACGAAAGGATGCAAAGCGAAAGCGAAAGGGAAGTCGGCCACCGGCCAACGAACCCGGCACCCTGAAGAAAACACCACGGGCGCGATGTTTTCTTGAGCCAAGAGCCACGGTCGGCACATGTATTGTACATGTGGTGTGTGAACCGTAGCTACTAGTAGACATGTAGTGAATGCTGTTACATACTAGGGGTTCACAGAAAATGACTCCCCCCTCCCCGTTTTGGGGCAGCATTCCTTTGTACATGCACGAATTACCGCGCCGGGTGGCAGCGGTTTCGACGACCTACGAAGGCTTCGAACTGCTCGGAAGGCTCCTATCTGTCTTAGATGGGACTAAGCACTTTAAATCTGTACGGATGCCAAGCAAGCATAGCGCTTTGAACCACTTTTGTGGTGGCAACGCTTTGGTGAAAATGTCTGCAGCTTGTTCATTCGTATCGATGTACTTGATTTCGACAGATGGGTCGTCGATGCATTCCTTTAAGGAACTGAGGTTTATCTTATGTGTTCGGCTGATGTGTCGTAGCTTAGGGGAAAAGCCCTTCCTTACTACTAGAATCGTGGCTTGGTTATCCTCCTGTATGACGAGGTTGACGTCCCGTCCAAGAAGTTTATCCCATAGCTGTAGCGAAGGTAGTCCTTCTTGGTACAACGAATAGGCCAAGCTTACTACTTCCGATTCTGTAGTGGATCTTGACGTGGAGGTCTGCCGTTTCGACACCCATGCTAGTGGATAGTGGGTGTTAGGGCCCTTAAGTACTAGGTACCCCCCTGAGGTCGACTTCACGTCATGTTGGTCCCCACCAAAGTCGGCGTCCACGAAAAGTTCTAGCCACAGCTCACTAGCATCATCGCCGCAGACGGCGGTTAGCCTATATTCTAGTGAGTGCTGAATGTACTGAACGAGTCGTAGCAGCTTTTTATCGTGGACACGGGTCCACTTCTGCACCTTGGTGGCCAGATCGTTGATCGGCTTAAGTATATCGGGCCGTGCTAACCTGGCAAGCCAAAGGGCTTTCATCAGAATAGAACATGCCTTTGGTGCGAGCTCTCCGGGCGACTCCTCATCAGCCGTGGTGAACGTGCCGTCGGCGAGAAATGGCGTCTGGGCTGACTTTATCTTATCGACACCGGCCACCGACTTGTAGAGGTCGATGGTTTGCTGCGCGTAATCCTTCATGTCGAAGATTAGGGCGTCAGCACTACCGCGCAAAGCAGCGGTCTCGGTGTTTCCTGAATCTGGGACTACCGCGTAGATGTGGTTCCTCCCTAGCATTCTGTAAATAGCTTCGGGTGGTTCAACGTTAACAACATTCGTGAGTTCTGACCAAAACTTTTGGTGGCTCTCCCGTGGGCCTGCCAAAGTGAGGTCGTCAACGTATGTGGATAACATTAAACGAGGACCAGAAAACCAGAAGTTACCGGGGAACTCTGGGATTTCCTCGCCACCCATTTTCTTAAGAATGCCCTTTAGATGCTGTTCCCACATCCCTCCAGCGTCGGGATGTCCGTACAGCGCCTTGACGAGGAGAACCACTGGTTGAACAAATTTGTTCTTCCACCATGCGGGTCGAAGTTCAGGTGGTAATTCGATCCAAGTTTTATACTTGGATTTTAGTGTTGCTTGCACGTACGCCTTCACCGCATCCGCGGCGGTGCACAGGTTACCTGGTACTGGGATGTCCCGCGAAGATCTTATTGGTTAGAAGAGTTATAAATGGTTAGATAAGTTCCAATAAGCTAGTTATAAGCTCTAGTAAGTAGGTTATAACTTCTAGTAATGGTTTATAACCTCTCTAACCACTTCTAGGTTTGAGGCTAACCTCTATAAACTTTATATCGTTTATCTAACCTCTTAGCTTGTTTGTTAGAGGTTAGCCACTTCAACAAACCCTAGGTTACTAAGTGGTTAGCTGATTTGCTAACCATTTAGCTTAAGGGTTAGCTGGTAAAGCTCTCCGAGGACTGAAAAATGTGGTGTCGGTGACTTTTTGGTCACCAAGTCTCACCACAACATGTTTGAATGTTTTTTGAATTGAAAAAGTTATATGTTTCAGTTGAAATATGTTGTATTTGCATATGATTTGTTTTTTGAAAAATCTACAGTGTACACATAGTAATTTTGCATTTTCATTGTTGCATTTTCATTAATTGTGGGTTCTTGCCATGTCATGTCCAAGCCTGGTGGGTTTACCCTGTAGAGAGCATGCATGTTTAGTTGTGATTTGCCATGTTCATTTGAAATTTCACACTTTCATTTTTTGACTTTTTGGTCACCATGTCATGTCCAAGCCTGGTGGCTTTACCATGTAGAGAGCATGCATGCTAGTTGTGATTTGTCATGTTCATGTGTTTGTTGCTTGTATAGGTTTACATGTGCATGTTGTCATGGACATGTGTGGGTAGAGACATGTGGGTTGACATGTGTTAATGTTCATGTTCATGTGAGATTCTGTGCTCAAGATTTGTTGCAGCTGCCTTTCACTTTGTCATTGTTTGTCATGGACTCAGCCATGGGCAATGCAGATCCAATGTCTGCCAGCATGCAGTATTGGCCCTTGAGATCTGAAGAGGCATTGCTTGCCCTCTTCCCAGCACATATGAAAATGCAGTGGTGGCATGAAGGACAACCTCGCTTTAGCATTGGCTTCTGGCATGGTGCATGGTGGCTCTCAGCCAAATATGAGAACCTTTGGGAAGAAAGGTGGTTTGGACTGTGCATATAGAAGAGTTTTTAAAATCAAGTTTTAACATATCATGAAAGTATGTATAAGTAGTTTGTGTGGGAAACCATTTGCGACAGTGTTCAGGATCACCATTGCCAGAGGATTGGAAGATCAACTGGGCTTCACCAGGTATCAAGCTGGTGTCATTGTACATATATTGGACTTGATGTACATGGATTGGTAATGAGCTGATGTATGATGTGTGAAAAGAAGCATGCCTTAAGCCCTGGGTCAATAATTCATGCAACATTTCATGCACGGGTTTTGTC